CCCCGGGCCGGCTGCGGGGGGCGAGCGTCGCTGCCCCGGAGGCGGCTTAACCGGACTGTGCCTCCGCCTTCTCCCGCCGGGGCGCGGCTCCCCGCGCTTACTACTCCCGCCCCGCTCCGCTCTGCTCCGCCATGCCGCCGGGGGCTGCTCTGGCCGGGTGATGCCGCCGGCCTGGGGCTGGTGAATGGAGGAAGAGGAGGAGGAGCAGCCCTCTGCCCAGCCATCCCCGCCGCCGCCGGGCACCTCGGCCCGCGCCTCGCCGTCCTCGGGACGAGAATGAGGACCCAGCGTCGGAGCCGACTCGCTTCCTCCCCCATTTAAACCCATAAGACGTTATTATATCTCGCTCTATATTTTTCATTTTAATTTTTTTTGTAGGGTGGCTATTTTCTCGGTCTCTGCCATTGTGTGCGTCTCCTGGCTGTGTGGGAGGGAGGTGTGTGTGTGTGTGCGCGCGTGCAACTGGGCAAGGATGCCGTGTCCAGCGTGAGGTGGAGCCCCGAGGTGGCTTGTGCTTTCAGCACCCGCCAGGCTGCACTGACCTTTGCCGGAGAGAGGGACGGCGACGCAAGCCTGGTGCCTATTCTTCATTATTTGAAAGAGACTTTTAAGAGTTAAGGGTTTCGGGGGGTTTTGTGGGTGTTTTTTTTTTTTTTTTTTTTGGTTTTTTTGGAAAGTCACCTTCCTCATTTAAAAAAAAAAGGAACCCCCCCCCCCATGCAAACTGAATCAATCATGTCTGGAGAGGTGCGTTTGAGACAGTTGGAACAATTTATTTTGGATGGGCCGACGCAGACCCAGGGGCAATGCTTCAGTGTGGAAACCTTGCTGGATATACTCATCTGCCTGTACGACGAATGTAATAATTCCCCGCTGAGGAGAGAGAAGAATATTCTTGAGTATCTAGAATGGGGTAAGTCCCAATACCATCGTTTTTTTTTGTCCTCACCCTGGATGCGTTGTCTGTGACGATTGACGGTGAGGCACTTTGTGACGATGGTGCTTTCGTTATTTGCAACTGGTGTGTTTTTATACCTCAGATTCTCACTGGGGGTCATACGTCTTTTACAGCATCAAGCATTCGTAGCGACGGTAAGCCCACCTCTTATTCCTAGTGGGGATTTTGTTAGCCTTGAGTGTCCTGTTCAATATGGACACCATCACATTTAGGTGTTTTCAGCCCAAGTTGTGGCATGGTAAGGTTGGGAAGGTAGAAGGATGCTGAAAGAAATTCCTTGGCAGGAAAAAAAATAATAAAAAGAGCAGCCTATACTTCTCTGATTTGGGCGTGGAATTCAATTCATGGTTCATTTATGGTGACAGGTATTTATAAGAGAAAAAGCCCATTCTTAGAAACGAGATATGCTTGAAAGGCTGGTGAAAACAGAGAAAAGACAGTGTCCTCTGTAACCAGAGGTAATTGCTGAGCTGCAGAAAGCAATTGATTGCTACTAGGCTAAATTAAGTTATAAAGCAGAGTTGTTTTAGTTATTTTCCGTGCTATTTTCAAGTTTAGCACAAAATAATAGTGCTTATATATTTTTGGATGAAACAGGTGAATGATACTTAGCGGTTGAACACTCCCCAAATTGTGACAGGATGGTGGTCTCTTTATTCCTCCTTATACTAAATATAGACATAGCATATAAAAATCCTGATGAGAGAACAGTTACTGTATGTGACCTTCAAACTCCAAAGTCATAGTGTACTCTTACATTTAAAAACTTTATCACAAAATGGACACAAGCAAACAACTGTATTTAAAAACATGTGTCCAATGTGGATATTATGAATCACTGGATTTATTAAATTACTGGTTAGATAATTAGGCTCTCGCTGCAGGAAGATTGTTGATCGGGTTAGTTATCAGTCACCAGCATATATTAGCACTGTACCGTGCAATGCTTTTTCATTTGTGTGCAGTAAATTGTACTATACTACACTGGAGTCATATTATTGGCATCAAAAGGATATCTTTTTATAGTCTTACAATTTGTATTGGTATCAGTCCTTTGCTGTTAACTTGAATATAGCAGAATATAATACATTTTTATTTGCTAAGGAGGCAGCTTTTTAAAACGATGAGATTAATACTCTAAAATTAGTATTGATAACTATTTGTTTCAATCTCTGATGTGAAATATTACGTTTAACGAGTATTTATGGTGCTGAACAAATTTCCCTTGGCTCCCTAAATTGATATTCTGCTAGTTCAGTATCAATATGAACAGAAGGATGGGGTTTTTAAACTTAACACACTGAATGCTGTTACTTTCGCTGTTTAATGGTGGTTGACAAGTGATTGTCACCTTAAGGTTCTGACTGCAACTGCAGATATGTATATCAAGTTTGCAAGGGGTGTATTAGACTCTGCTTAACCTTGTTAATAGAATTGAAATGCTATTTTGGAAAGTCTGTAGCAAACACTCTTACATGCCTGTTTCTTTAACTGCTTTTCTTTTCCACCCTGTCATTCTCTTGAGCTCATGAGCTGTACATCTGAGAAATCCACTTCTAAGGCTGAGTTCCTGTAGTGCTCTGTATGCATTGGCCTATCAGAGCAATTGCCATCTTGATTTCTTACGTTGAAAATTTCAAGTGTATTTGTCAAGGGCTGGTTAGAAAGAAAATGTAGCAGCGGTGCTCTCTGATAGCCACTTCCATTGCATCTTACTTAGTGAGACTTTAACCTGCAAACCCTTAATCCTAAGTAGTTCTTTCTTAAACTGGTAGTTCCAATGACTTTGGGGCTACTCACATGAATTAGGGTTTGCAGAATTGAACTGTCATTGCAATCTCATTGTACCTAGGTATTGGAATGCATAATGCCTGTTTATTTTGTTCTTTATTCTGATATAGTCAGATTTGTTAATTGTCTACTTGAGAAAAAAGGGAACCCGGGTTTGAGTTGTGGTAGTCATCGGTTTTGTTTTTAAGTCAAAGGCACTATCGAATGATGGTTAAAGCAAGAGCTGTCAGCCAGAAAATCTGTGTTCTCTCCCTAGCTTTATCAGTCATTGTGCAAATCATTTCATATCTCTGTTTCAGTTATCCCTGCCACAAAATAGGGAAAAATAGCTCCTCCTGAGAGAGTTTTCTCAATATCTACCTACTATTTGCTAAGTACTTGGAGCTCCTTAGATGAAAGCACTATTCAGAAGCAAAGCATTTGAGGTAATTTTTTCCATCAGTAGGCCTGTTTACATTGGAAGTCAGTGGATGCCATGGGAAGAGAACCTTGTGGCGTCAGGGCCCTGATAGTACGAATGCTTGTGTCCATACTTCAATATTTATGCAAGTAATTCAGCTTAAATCTGTGGGACTTCTGGAGAAGCATATACATTTCTAAGTTTTTCTAAGCATTGAGGTCTTTGTGCATTTGCAGTTTGCTATTAAGCACAAGGCATAGCTTTGTTTTAAGTGGAAACATTTTTGAAAATGACAATACTAGTTTCAGAAATGTAAATGTGTCCTTCAAATTTCATTTAAAAAATCCAAGTATGTTAAATTAGAGTGAGAAAAGTGAAAGATACTGACTAGGTCTTCATGCATTAAGAAAAAAAAAGACAGAAATAGAAATATTTTCTGTTGGCTTTTGGAGACTCTTATTATAAAGAAATGCCTTTAAAATTGTTTAAGAAATGAAACTGTTACACTTCATGCCAAACTGAATATTTATAACAGAGTTATAAACTCTTGGAAAAGGGTTAGGAGGAGGTTTAGAATGGAAAAGCTGACACAATCTTACCAATAGCAATGTGACTGCTGCTATATTTAGGTTAGCTTGGAAGGTCGATATGCTTCAATTTATTGAGATTTAAAGTTTTTAGGGTTTGGTTGTTGTTTTTTACTATATTGTCATGTTTTTACCCAGTACTATGATTACCTACTTTGTTTCACATCTTAAAATTGTTGGACTACTTGCACAGATTTTTTTCAGCTTTCATTTTGGATAGGATTACTGAGTTAAACTCGGTAGGTGAAAAAAATATACTTAAAAAAGTAAGCAAAGGATATATTGAAACAGGCCTTTAGTTGCCTTGTCATGGCAGAGGTCGCTAAGAAAAACTAAGGCCGTGGGATATTGGTATTGCAATTTAGTATCTGTATTATATGTTCTTCTGTATAAACACTTTTTTTTGCATGTTTTTCATATTTATCCATGTGTGGATGTATGATATTATATATCCTGATTCTATGTTTGTTGTGTATGTAAATGATATATCCATCTTTGCCCTGCTGCTTCTCTGTTTTGCATGTGCAACACTAGTGTGAGTTTTATTCTGCCTTGTTGATCAGCTGTGTTTATAGTTCAGACTGAAGAGAAACTCCAGTTGCAGCAACTGAAGCTTGCCAGCAGGAGACATTGAGAATGCAAAGCATTTGTTTTTCTTTTTTACAGCAGCATCAGTTGTCACTGGTGCTTATGACTTTGGGGGAGGTAATGCAGGCCAGGATGCAAAGGATTTACAAGAACAAGTAGTGTAGTAAAAAAACATTTAAAAAAATGTAGTTTCTCACTGTTTGTTTTTTTTTAATGCACTCGGAGAGTGTCCTTATAGTGAGCCTGATTGGAATTGTTCTTTTAAGGAGAACAGTGAGATTTGCAGAACTTGCATTTTCACAGACCTGCATTTTTGCATATTGGCTTCTAATCTACCCAAGAGAGCACCCAAACCAACAGCAGATTCTCCAATGCCTGAAGAAGGGTGTTTGTGCCCAAAAGCTTGCAAAGAACAATTTTTCCAACTATTTAGTTGGTTTTATAAAAGATACCACATTTACCCAAAAAACCTTGTCTGCCTATGTCCTTAGACCAACATGGCTACAGTCAGCAACCCTGTAACATTAGAAAAAGTGCTTCAAAATACACGAGGAAAGAAAAAGCCATGATGCAACGTGAAGATGACGACTTTATAGGATTAATTTTTCTCCAGCTTGCATAAGAAATACTAGATTTTCACTACCGTTTTTATTTCTGTTTCTGATGGGAAAGTTAACTGTATTTCATTAAAAGTACTTTTTTTTTTTTTTTTTTTGGTTTTATGTACTGAATTACTGCTAATGTAATGGCACCTCAGTTTTTGAGACTGTCACCATACTCTTGGCATTCAGGTACAGTGTGGCACATGTAACAATCAAATTTCAATCTTTCAAAATTATCATGCAATTTTTAAATATTTTGAGATTCTTTTAATAATTTAAACTTCTGGAGAGTTTTTTTTAAAGAGAAATAGGAAATAATATGTGGGTTCTTTGGGTAGGTTGGGAGATTTTTTTTGTTTTTGGTAAATACTCTGTTTCAGAACAATCATTCAATTTTCTGCTGGTCATGGCAGAAGTAACAGAATTTATCAAGTATTTTTTTTCATGTTAGTATGTATAAATCTGACAATTCTTTGTGGAAGAAAGGGGAATCCTCAGTCAGATACCTCTTCTTTGCAAATATGGAATAGTTAAACATTTTAATTGGGTTTTATGTTGCTAAGAGTTCACTGGATTTAGAAGATATATTCCAATACATTTAGTATTATATAAGCTGTTAGAGATAACTGAAAATGTTTTATTTTTCAAAATAAATTTCAGTTCTCTTCAGAACTATCCGTGTGTGTGTGGTGTGTGTGTTGCAGCTTTTAAAATTATGCTTTTTCACTTTGGACCAAGTCTTTAGTCTTATGGAAATCTTACAGTTCTGCTGTTAGCACCTGTGGAAACAGGATAAAATACCTTCCTTGTTGAGGCTTTGATTCAACAAGCAGCTACATGCCTTTCTATAAACTTATGATTGTAGACTGACAGAAGTCAAAATAATCATCCTGGTGGAGAGGGTGACATCTCTGAGCTCTTTGCATAACTGAAGGGTAATTCAGAAATTTCTGGAGCATTATTCACAGTAGATACTCCCTAGTCATT